GAGCTCCAAAGCCATGGCGAGGAGATTCTTCGCGGCCGAACGTAGAAACTTGGTCTATACTTGCTAATCTACAGGCCTCAAATGTGCTTGCCAGCCCAATGTCGCGAACTGCTCTGCAGGGCAGCATCTCTCCACAACCCTCACGGACACGATGCTACACAACACCTGCTCCGAGCTCCAAGTGTTTATGCCAGCATCGGACACTCCGCAGACACTACGGATCGCGCTAAGTCCACTTCACGAGTGCAGCTGGCTGCTCATCGTCCTGGCAACAGCAGGAACGGCTAAGAATTGAAAACGGGTCTGGGGTTTCGGGTTGGTAACTGTCATGGCAACGATCCTTGTTTTCCATGGGCTGCAGGGTTCACGGATGCAGGGAATGATGCAGAAGAGCGCGATATGGAATAACAAATCGCAGGTCCACCCTGAATCCCAGAAGCTTTGAAATGCTGTGAACCCTGAAACCGCAAAACCTTCGAAGTGTCACGACAGAAGTTACGCCTCTTGCACCAACCTCGCGCAAACCCTAAACCGTAAACCCCTACCCCCCACACCCAAAACCCCTAAACAGCATGGGCAGCAGGGCATTTCCCAAAACCCTAAACTCCTGAACCCTATAAACCCTAAACCCTAAGCCCTAAACCCCTAGACCCTAAACCCTAAATCCTAACCCCTAAACCCTAAACCCCAAACCCCCGAACCCTATAAACCCGAAAGGCTACGACCCGGCTTGCGTCCTCAGACCTTCCGGGGCTGGGTGTGTTTGGAGTTTAGGTGTTCGCCTTTTTGCATCAGTCGAACACCTAAACCCCCAAAAGTAGGCAAAATAATGGCCCAAAACCTATAAGCGGGGATCACTCTACATACTTAAGGAGTCCAGGTACAGCAAGGGTTGAATTTGGAGTTGAGGTTATCGGATTTCAAGGTTTACTTTTTCGACTTTCACGCTCGCACGGCTTAGCTGCCCCATGGCGTTGGCGTGCAAACGTGCTCTACACCTCTCACCACAATGCCACTGAAAGCTGCGTAAGCCGTTTCCTGATATACACATGATGTAGGGGCCATAATAATTAGAATGGGGTTTTGGGGTTCCGTATTATACTTACAGTATAATATACCCCCAAACCCTATTCTGACTACCAAGGCCCCTATATTAAGTCTAGGATGGTCAGGTCTAGCTGCGCTTCGCCAGGGTGACAGCATGATCTGTATATGGGTAGTTCTCGAAATTGGGGTCCCATTTTTCGCCCCCAATATAGTACGGCACCCTTACAGAAAGGACCCTAAAAGGGACCCTAATTTAGAGAATTACCCTATGGGCTTAAATTAAACCCTAAACCCTAAATAACCCCTAAACCCTAAACTGCCGGGAGGTTTTTGGAGGCTTGCGGTTTGGGGCATCGACTCGGCTCCTCGGATTTCTTGGTCAGAGAACCCAATACCCCTTAAATAAGAAAACTTACCGTAAATCATAGTAGAAACCTCTATAATTTAGGGTATATTCCGGAATTAAGGGATATACCTTAAATCATAGTAGAAGACCTCTATAATTTAGGGTATATTCCTGAATTAAGGGGTAGTATGGGTTCTCTGGGTCCTTTTCCCGGGGGTTAGGGATAGAAGGCCAGCGACCTCTAATCACTCTAATCTATCCCAAAGCCTTTGTCATCCAAACCCTACCCCCAAGCCTAAACCACGAGACCCAAAACCCCTTTATACGCGACACTTGCAACAAGGTTCGGTGGCACCTCGAAGGAAGCGAAGTCTGTGGCATCGGAGAAGGGCCCTCCAAAGGGTTTTGAGGTCTACCTTAACCCCCCAAAAAGCTCAACACCTTTTACCTTGTTAGTACTGATCTTCCTCTATAACTTGTATTCACTTCGCACCTACAGGGCTTGGGGTTCATAAAACTTCAGATGAAGGCTTGCGGCTTAGGACAGGAGTCTAGGATGTGCTTGGTGCTCTCGCTTGATCGCATGCCCCTAAACCCCAAACCCTCAAACCCTAAACCCTCGAACCCTAACCCCTCGAACCCTAAACCCTGGAACCCTAAATCCTAAACCGTTGAGCAATGTCGCAGGTGCAACCCCTGCTCGCCCTCCAATGAGGCGACCAGGAGACAATGAAGGCAACAAGCTTCGCAGATCTGGAGACACACACATATACATATATATGTATATATGTATATGTTAGGGTTTCGGGTTCAGGGGTTTAGGGCTTGGGATAGTAAGTACTGATACTCGCTTCAGTCATTTGCTTACACGTATTTACCTATGTGCTCAACTATCTGTCGATCTATCTACCTACCTACCTACCTACCTACCTACCTACCTATCTGTCTATCTATCTATCTGCCTATCTATGTGTGTGTGTTCGTGTATGATAGTGTATGTATACATACATATATATATATATATATTTATATGTATATGTATATGTATATATGTATATATGTATATGTATATGTATATATATACACAGACACATGCATATGACAAGTGCCTCGCGGAGTTGAGCATGCCGTGGGCTGCTCCATTTGGCTCCGGAGGACCGAGGTCCATGGGCGTAGCTACCTGTAGTCTGGGTTTAGGGTTTAGGGTTTAGGGTTTAGGGTTTAGTCTGCACTTCCGTTTAGGGCTTGGGGTCTCCATTCTAGTTCCTCTTCTGGTGTAACCCATTTTAAATTATGGATCCGAAAAGTAATCCCAAAAAAGAAACTACAATGGAGACAGGGACTATAGGTAAGTTGATTGTTTAGCTGACGGGGCACCTCCACCTGAGACTGCTTCGTCATGTCTGCTGTCTTCAAGTCCTCCTTCGATGAACTTCTCGCCGCACGCGATCGATAGTCCAGTCGTATTTGGCATGCAGACATCCCAGTATCTGAATCGTGCCGGGCAGGGGCAAGATTTCGAGCTCCAGAACCATAGCAAGGGAAAAGAAGGATGGGTAACCTCCTTGCCGTGGAAGTAGATGCAGAGCTGGCGCATGCCCTTGAGCCAGGGCCCAAACAATGCACCTACAATGAGCGACGCCTCGGCTGTGTCAGACCGTCAGATCACCTGCGGCTCGGCATCTGAGCCTTTGCGCACAAGCACAACATGGGTAGTTCTCCAAATTAAGCACATGTTTTTTCTCAGCCATACCCTTGGCCGAGCCAGGCTTCAAAGAGATTGGTCCTTTAAGGGACGCAGTCTGCCCCATCTTACAGACCACTCTTCCCTACACCCTACCAGGCGCAATAGAAGAGCCTTCAGACCAGCTCTTGAAACGTTTAAAGTGGGCACCCCGCGCAATCTGTTCATGCAGCAAGGGATGCCCTGAATCAGCACTATACCCAAAGGCCCCATATATATATATATATATAGTAGTTCCTTTTTGGGATTCCCTAATAGAATCCTGAATATGAGCCCGCAAAAAGGAACTACTATGGGGCCTATGGGTAGCCTCCTGAAGCTCAACGCCGTGACCAAGGAAAGACAACTGGGTTTAGGGTTTCAGAGCCGTAACAAGTCTAGGACATTCTCAGGTGGGTAGTTACCGTTCTAGGAGCCTTTTATGTAGAAGCTCTCTACCTTATATAGAAGCCTTATAGAAGCCCTATATACCCTAAACTCCCCACCTGTAGTTTCCTTTAGACAAGCAAACCCTAAACCCTAAACCTTAAACCCTGAACCCTAAACCTTAAATCCTAAACCCTATAAACCCTGAACCCTAAACCCTGAACCCTAAACCCTAAACCCTGAACCCTAAACTCCTGAAAGCGAAACCTCGGCCCCCTGTCAATCCCCTACCTTAAGAATCCAAAACCTACTTTTTTGTAGGGTCCCTATAAATCCCATATTAGGGTTTATAATAAGAACCTACACAAAAAGTGGGTCTTGGGTTTTTAAGGTAGACCGTTATCAACACGAACAGGCGGAGCTCCAGCGAAGCTTTAGAAAAGATGCGAGGGAGTTTCTGAAAAGCTCAGGAAACGACCTACAACGAGTAACTATGAATATACACTGTAGACACTGCATCACTCTATGAACAACGAACCATTGATCCCCTAATTCGAAAGACCCCCAAGCACACTCTAAACCCTAGGCCCTCAACCCTCCCCAAACCGTGAAACCCTAAACCCTATACTCTACACCCCCCTACACCCCCAAACCCTGAAACCCAAAGCCCTATACTCTACAGCCTTGTAGTTCAGAAACCCCTTTATAAAAAAAAAAGTCTCTGCTGGCACCGGCATCTCCCGGCCCTGGTCTGGTGCACAGCTCCCTTTGTACTATGAATATGGGCTTAGGGTTTAGAACTGGGGGCCGTAATGGTTAGAACTTGGAACTACAAGTGCTCGGTAATAAGGGTTCTGCAAGGGCTCGATGATAGAGGGGCCTTACAGAAATTCTAAGACAGTTCCGGTGTATCTTTGCCAGACAAAGGCAAAATAGGGAGCCCTACCGAAGAGCAGTGGCACTTATTCTGGCCCCTGTAGCAACAGGCACGTGCCGGATTCAGGAACAACGATCAAGATAGTGGCACAAAAGATGGCTAGAACGACAGCAGAACTAACGGGGGTGATACTTACACTTAGGAGGAATCACCCTATGCGAGTTGGCCATAGTGCTAATCAAACACCCGTACTTACGATGCAATCTGTAACGATGCTTCTGCATAGGCGGTACAAGACAAGGAGTAGCAGCGAATAGTGATACTGGCTACAGTTCCAAGTCATCAGAACTAGAGACACATCACAGACGTCAGATCGCAAGTGCGCGCCAGATACCCCAACCCTAAACCTGACTTCCCTCGCAATGACTTCCGACCCATCTTCCAAACGACTTCCCAGAGCCACCGGATCCAAAAAGCAGATCCCTTCAGGAGGTTCGGATAAAGTACCCGTTAGTAGCAGAGGGCCTCAAATTGGGGGATCTACCCGTTTAGATTTTAGATCCTCCCGGGGGTCTGGCTGGCTGGTTAGGGCTTAGGGTTTTCCCTCATGGTTAGGGCTTAGGATTTTCTAGGGTTTAGGGTGCTATGAATGGAATCGAATGATATTCAAAATCCGCCGGAAATGCAAGTCCTGATCATACTCGCCGCAAAGTGACTACAGCGTGAAACAACCTACACAACAAGAATGACCATGGCAATCATCGTCGAATGAAGAAATCACGAGTGACACGAGCATGCCTCTGGCAGACTCTAACAACTTGCAAGCCTAAACTTGCCCTAAACCCCAACCCTAAACCCTAACTCGAAAAGCAACAGTATACTATGATGATGAAATAATATAAGATACTAACATATACTGTAACATAATTGACTACAATATACTATACTATACTCTACTCTACTTTACTATACTATACTGGACGAGACTGTAGTAGACCATATTGGACTATAACAGGATGCACCCAGACCAGACCTCTTTGGTGCAGCTCAGTCAGGCGAAATCCACAAAGAAGTCGTCAACGCGGATCTCAAGCAAACCCGACTGAGGGCCAGGTAGAAACAAGTCAGACTTACGATCGAATCAACTTAGAAAGCATGGAGAGGGGGGGGGGTGAACCCTAAACCCTAAATCCTAAACCCTAAGCCCTCTCAAGCAAGGGAGAGCACCCCCCCCCCCCCCCATGATGCCGACATGCGAAGATGCGCCTATGGAGCCCAACTACCCTCTGGGACAGGCCCACAAGTCGCTTTTCGCGAAGTGACGAGGTGCTAGAAACTAAAATCCCGGCCATGAGTGGCCACTGTGCTGCTGGGCACCACCTAATATAGGGGCCTGAATTCTTAGAAATAGGATTTTGGGGTAATGTGACCTCGTGCTTAGTCATGGTCTCCTCAATACAGCTAAACTCGGCCCTGCACACAATAGATAAAGCCCCCTCAATAGTCGTAAATGCCCATCCGTTTTTTTACTACTGTACTATTACTGTACTACTACTACACTACTGTACTACTATTGTACTACTACTATACTACTACTGTACTATTACTGTACTACTACTATACTACGGCTGTACTACTGTACGTACTACTACTGTACTACTCGCTACTATGCTACTGTACCACTACCGAGAGCCAAGACCCCAAACAACTTAGACCCCAGCCCCCCCAAACAAGTCAAATCCCAGTTCCAAAAAAGAACACTCCCACTATTCCGGATTTCAGGCTGTTTCGGGGCGGTGTTTACTAATCAGGAGAGCACATTATATTGGTTTAAGGAACCCCAAAAGAATGTAGGTAACTATCAAGGCCCCTATATTGGACGACCTAGAGTCCTAGAGTCCCTGGAGTGGACCTAGAGGAAGTGCATGCGGAGACGCTCCAAGGAGGCGGCCAGGAAGTCTGCGCTGGGCGTGGCATTCCCCGTTCG